GATATTAACCTATAGTATAAGTTTTATAAAAATCTGGCAAGAATTGTACCCATGAGAGCGCTAACAAGGCCATTTTCCATAATTTTAATATTTCCAAGGGGCATAACTCTTTTAAAATAAATTGCTTCGCCGAGCGCAGCTGGATACGACTGCAGAGGTCCAACCCTGAACAGTTGGGGCAAAAATGGACACAATATTCACGCTTGATACAGGTCTGAATTTGGATTGTAATTAAATATTTGACACATAATAGGTTTCTGACACAGAATAACTGTAGTCAAAGAACTTAGAATTGGTTATATGACTTGAATTTATATTCAATTTTTTGATTTTTTGCAATACACTATGCTGTTGCATATTTGAAAAAATTTTCTTTTTAATTTCTGAAATTTGAAATTAGAAAAAATTGCCCTCCCCCCTCTCACAAATTCTTTTTTTTGCCCCCCCTCCCTTTTTCCAAAAAAAAAAATGCTTTCCCTCAAGATATGGTCATGATCTCAATTCAAATTTCCATTGGACTTTGCAACCATAATTACCCATTTAAATACATCATAAAAGTCTTAAAATAGAAAATGACATACATAATCATGGCTAAAATTAATATATTAAATATTCCTTAATCAGCATTTTTAAATAGTAACTTCTAAAAATAAATTGACAGCTAATCACCTCAAGACAATACAACATTTCTTTATACATAATTTTAAAGCAGTGAAAGGGAGGTAATCCAAACATAACATTGTACTTTTTTTTACTTGTCCATTAACCAGGAAACCCTTGTTTTTCCACCATTTTTTGCCTCTAATCCTAAACGATTTGAGCCATAACCCCCCAAAGCCAATCCTAACCATCCCTTTGTGGTATGGAAACTTGTGGTATAATTTCAGAGAGATCCATACACCGTTCCACAAGTTATTGTCTGGACTAGAAAAATGCTGATTTGGGCCCTTTTTGGCCCCTAATTCCTAAACTGTTAGAACCATAACCCCCAAAATCAATCCCAACCTTCCTGTTGTGGTTATAAACCTTGTGTTTAAATTTCTATTTACATTTACTAAAGTTATTGTCCGGAAACCAAATGTCTTCAGACGACGCTGACGACGACATGATACCAATATACGACCACAAAATTTTTTGTGGTCGTATAAAAAGTCGATCAGCCACCATTATAGAACTTGTCCGAGAAATTGCTGATATTAATCTATAGTATAAGTTTTATAAAAATCTTGCAAGAATTGTACCTGTGAGAGCGCTAATAAGACCGGACGGACGGACGCCCAGACTTTCCATGTCTCCCGCAACGCCTTATGCTGGGGACAAAAATCTAAAATACACACTTAGAAGTTAGATTCAGCATATCGAAGAACCCCAATAACTCAATTTTTTTAAAAATCAAACAAAGTTTAATTTTGGATCCTGTGGACCTTAATGTGTATCAATTTGAAAACAGGTACCAAAATTAATAAAATGCTCCGCTGGGCGCAGCTTGATACGACCACAGAGGTCGAACCCTGAACAGTTGGGGCAAGTATGGACACAACATTCAAGCTTGATACAGCACAGAATTTGGATTGTGATTAAATATTTGACACAGCATAGGTTTCTGACACAGAATGAATGTGGTCTAAGAACTAAAAAAATTTATAATTTACCTATTCAAACCATATCATTATTATTTGCTTTTATATATAAATCAGAAATAACCAATTTAAAAGAATAACAAGAGTGCACACGCTGAAATGTCTCGCCTTTTTTACTAATCATTGATATTATGTTGATAGTCCTAAATATAAAGCTTTATTACAACTGTCACATAAACTTAACATTAACCAAGTAAACTAAACATTGACCAATGAACCATGAAAATGAGGTCAAGGTCAGATGAACCATGCTAGGCAGGCATGTACAGCTAACAATTCTTCCATACAACAAATATGGTTGACCTATTGCTTATAGTTTAAGAAAAACAGACCAAAACACAAAAACTTAACACTGAGCAATGAACCTTGAAAATGAGGTCAAGGTCAAATAAAACCTGCTTGACTGACATATAGATCATAAAATATTTCCATACACCAAATGTAGTTGAACTATTGCATATAGTATTAGAAAAAAAGATCAAATCTCAAAAACTTAACTTTGACCACTGAACCATGAAAATGAGGTCAAGGTCAGATGACACCTGCCAGTTGGACATGTACACCTTACAGTCCTTCCATACACCGAATATACTAGACCTATTGCTTATAGTTTCTGAGATATGGACTTGACCACCAAAACTTAACCTTGTTCACTGATCCATGAAATGAGGTCGAGGTAAAGTGAAAACTGTCTGACAGGCATGAGGACCTTGCAAGGTACGCACATACCAAATATAGTTATCCTATTACTTATAATAAGAGAGAATTTAACATTACAAAAAATCTTAACTTTTTTTTCAAGTAGTCACTGAACCATGAAAATGAGGTCAAGGACATTGGACATGTGACTGACGGAAACTTCGTAACATGAGGCATCCATATACAAAGTATGAAGCATCCAGATCGTCCACCTTCTAAAATATAAAGCTTTTAAGAAGTTAGCTAACGCCGCCGCCGTAGCCGCCGGATCACTATCCCTATGTCGAGCTTTCTGCGACAAAAGTTGCAGGCTCGACAAAAATTCTAGTTTTTGGTCCCTTTTTGGCCCCTAATTACTACACAGCTATGACAATAACCCCCAACCTTTCTATTGTGGAATGGAACCTTTTGCTAAAATTTTATAGAGATCTATACACTTATACTAAAGTTATTGTCTGTGAATCATTAAAATGCTTCTGTTAGCCTTTTTTGGCCCTTAATTACTAAACAGCTACGACAATAACCCCTAAAATCAATCCCAACTTTCCTATTGTGGTATGTAACCTTGTGCTACAATTTCATAGAGATGCATACACTTATACTAAAGTTATTGTCTGTGAACCAGAAAAATGCTTGTTTCTATCCCTGTTTTGGCCCCTAATTACAAAACAGCTACTACAATAACCCCCAAAATCAATCCCAACCTTCCTATTGTGGTAAGGAACCTTGTACTAACATTTCATCGAGATCCATACACTTATACTCAATTTATTGTCTGCAAACCAAAATGTCTTCGGACGAATATGCAGACATTGCCATAACATTTGTCAGCATATCTATATTGTAAAATATCAGCTGCTTGACACTCTGAAACCTTTTTTTAACTTGTTGACTGTACTCACTAGACAAAAAGCTTCATATTGTGACTCTCAGCTGATATTTAACAATATCCATATGCAGACAACCTGATAATCGGTACTTTTTTCAGCGAGGTACAAATACTGTAATATTTGTTCCAGAGGATATATTACAGAGTATTATTTTATTTATTATATTATGAAGAAAATAACCATGTAAAATTTGAAGAGTAACGAATGCGGAGAAATGTTCCAAGTACAAATTAAAGATAACTTAAAAAGAAATGTAAATTTTAGTCATCTGGTCAACAAACCTTGTTTATGCATTTAAATTTTCTTATTAAGTGATGTCCAACATTAAGGATGTTCCAAAATGTATAATACAATGTATTACCACTATTCTAATAAGGAAAGGATGCTTCAATATTGTCCATCTAAGATCCCCAAAATTGATACCATTAAAAGTAAACCACTACTACATGTTTATGTATCTAACAAAACCTAAATGGTATATACATTTATTCATTGTTAAATGCCATTTACAAACTTTGAATTTTCTAAATACTGAGGCTTTTCTACCACAGGAATAGATATCTATAGCTGTATTTTGAAAAAGCTTACAGAATTTTTGGTAATAAATGCTCAACTTCACAAATTATTTGGCCTTTTAACCTTTTTTTGATTCGAGAATCACTGACAAGTCTTTTGTTGACGAAACACACGTCTGGCATACAAAATGATAAGCCTGGTATCTTTGATGAGTTTTTTTTTTTTACCTCTATTTTGATTTTATCATGTTATTTTAATTTCCTACATCTGAGGCACTTTTCTGGATTTACATTCATCAGGAATGCTCACGTCTTAACATTTAATAGCCTACAGGTATGTGATGTGACAATAAACAGAAACATTAGCTTTATGACCAAATAGAAACTAAATAGAAATGCCAAATTCATCTAGGGTTGTCTACTTGATAAGTTGTTATCTCATTGACATGTATCCAACATACCTTTTTGTTCATAATACTCACATACTCCACATCCTCATATTGTCACTAAGCAAACAAAAATCTCACCAGATTCCCAAGTTCAAAGACTCAGAACTCCTACAAGAGCCAATGAAAATTTTTTTCTTGAGGATATGAAATTCTGTTGTGTGGTCTCCGAGGAATTGCACTAACAAACTGTTGCTGTAGTATATTAAGGTCAAAATTCTATGATCAAAGGGCATAACTGAGTTCTAGAAAAAATATTGAATCATAATTTTCTGTATGCACATCTACACAGTATGTTCTAATATCTACAAAGCTTTATGAAATTCTATTTTTTGGTTTAGAGGAGTTGTGCTGACAAACTGTTGCATTAGTACAAATGTATATTATGGCCGAAACTCTTAATTCAAAGGGCATTACTCCTAGAAAAAACATTGAATCATAATTTCATGTCAATATGTGTATCTACATAGTATTTCCTTATTATCTAATAAAAAGTTTTATGAAATATTTTGTTGTGTGGTTTCTGAGAAGTTGCGATGACAAACTGTTGCAGTGGACTATTAGAAAAAAAAAAATGGAATCATAATTTCCTATTGATATGTCCGTATTATAATCAAAGCTCCTTGAAATCCTGTTGTGTCGTTTCAGAGGAGTTGCTATGACAAGAACAGGACTGGCAGACGGACAGGTCAAAAACATTATATCCTACGCAACTTTGTTGCATGGGGTATAATTACTTTTAATCACAGAACTTGGCTAAAGTATGCAGCTGTATAAATATATATCTCTTTTAAATACATTATTAACAAGCTGTGTGAAACATTTCTTTATCAATTGAAGTAAAACAGCTAAAAATACATCACAAAAAAGAATTCATATAATAAATCTAACTATTTCTGATACATAATAAACTTTTATACATTCACACACACACACACTACATGTATTCCATGTATATGAAAAATAAAGATTATATTACAAAAACAATTTCGATACTACTAAAATTTGCATGTCCTTATATTTGATTCGCTTTAGGAAAAAATCCTAACAGCTTAAAGTAATTGAAAAATTATGTCTTAAGAATTATTAATTCCGGATAAAAAAATAAAGATAACACAAAATTAACCTTTTCCCTAAATCAAAAGAAATTTACCATACTTTTATTGTTTAAATTATTTTCGTTTGTGTTCCTGAAGAACTCTAAAATATTGATTTCTAAATCTTCATCATAACTAGTACAAAATGCACAAAAAACAATCATCAAAAAATTGCAAAAATATTTTTCTGCACAACTTAAAAAAATGCTTGTGACTAATTCATTGAATAAATGAGCCTTGAACACTTGAGTACACTGGTACTAGTTAATAATCACAACTTCATATATGGTCTATTGGTACATATATGGTCTGCAATTGTATATTCTGTTCCGGACAGTCTAAATGAAAGACATTCTAATTTAGACTTTCTGTTAAGATTCAAACTTCCCAATGATATCTTTTTCTTGAAATAAGAAGTAATCCTGAAAAATAAAATGCTAAATTCATAACTATTATAAACAAAAACAAGAACCACACAAAGGTGAAACAACAATGTGTTCAGACAGATATTTTAAAAGAACTGTAGAAGAAAAATAATCAAAATAAAAAAAAAAAAAAAAATATTTGGCTTCTCTTCTTTTTTTTTGGTCTTTAATTTGCAAATGCTTAAGTTTCCACAACTATTGTTAATATAAGTGTTAACACAAACAAGGTCTTGCCCAACACAGTATTTTTTGTTTACTCTTTTCTGTCTTATGAACATGTTCTTTTTATCCAATTCAATGATTTTAAGTAAATTGTTTGTTCTCAAATCATGAATCAATGCAAATTGTTGTGGATTTTACCTATAGGTGTTTTCTCTTCAGATATCATATAGAAATTAGACCAATCCTTTAGATGAACAGTCGTATGGCAAGGAAATCAAGCTCCTTTTTCTTTTCTTGATTCTTTCCATATATTAATACATGTAGTTTTGTCTTGTAAAATTTGACAATTTATTGTCAAACAATGTTTAAATAAAGAGGGCCTAATTTACCAAACCTGTCAACTGACCCGTATCCTCCGGGTCACACCCGAGAATTCAAAAGGTAAACAATTGACATTAGAATTTGCTTATTTACGGTGCCAATGGCAGCTATCAAAACATTACATTTGATTGAAAAGTAACAATTCGAGGATTGTTTGTTAATTGTACCAGTTGAAGCCAGTCAAGCTTGACATACAATTCTATGTCCTGATTAAAAGATTTATCGTTTGCAAATATCAAATATCCTGTAGAAATCATTTTAAAACAATTTGAACCTTTTAATACATTTCTGGTGGAGAGAATAATTTTGTTATATTTCAAATGTAAACGCTTTAAATCAAATCCATATGCTCTAGATATTACACTGAAAGGAAACACACTTACTTCTTTCTATTTATCTTCCTCCTGTGTATAGGAGCACATTAGCTATAATATTGATTTCTAATTACATGTATAGCTGGGGTTTATGACATTCATTAAAAAGAAGAAGTAAACAAGTGTGAATAAAACAAAAATTCGTAAGGGTTCTGTGGAACCCAGTGTCTCGCCTACTTTTGCTGTTAATCGCAGGCTCAACAAAAATGAGTAAAAAAATTAATAAAAATATTCCTCTCTATACTATCTTTTGATTGTAAGTAGCTTCTGTCCAAGTTTGGTAAAAATCCAGGATAGTTTATGAATCTAATAAATGTTTTAAAAACTTAAACTGCAGACTGTATGTAATGTTAACTGGAAGAAAAACTAAGTCCATTTACAATTAAATAAGGAAAAAATGGAACAAAATTTTTACAAAATTTCCTTCTAGATACTAGCTTTTAATCATAAACAAGCTTCTGTCCAAGTTTGGTACAAATCCAAGATAGTTTAAGAAAGTTGTTAAAATTTTAAAAACTTTAACCACAGAGTGAATGTAATGTTAACTGGCAGAAAAACTAAGTCAATTTATAAGTAAAATACGGAAAAAAAGGATTTTTTTTTACAAAATTTACTTTTGGTTATTATCTTATGATCATAAACAAGCTTCTGTCCAAGTTTGGTAGAAATCCAGGATAGTTTAAGAAAAGTATTAAAATTTCAAAAACTTTAACCACAGAGTGAATATTTGTGGACGCCGCCAACGACAACGGAATGTAGGATCACTATGTCTGGCTTTTTCGACAAAAGTCTAAGGCTCGACAATAAAAGGGCATTACTTTAGAAAGATATTTTATTAATGATAAATATTTATATACTTAACTAAAACAAAAGTGATTATTTTAAGGAAACTCAGTGGTACATGTATATGTTATCGTATATAAAAATAAAACGCTCCGCTGGGCGCAGCTTGATATGACCGCAGAGGTCGAAACCCTGAACAGTTGGGGCAAGTATGGACACAACATTTAAGCTTGATACAATTTTGGATTGTGATTAAATATTTGACACAACATAGGTTTCTGACACAGAATGAATGTGGTCTAAGAACTTATAAATTTTCAATTTACCTATTCAAACCATATCATTATTATTTGCTTTATTTGCTTATATAAATCAGAAATAACCAATTTAAAATGGAAAATTTTAAAGAAAAAAAAAATCCCTCCCCCCAAAGTTTTTGAACCCCCTTATGATTCATCACCCCCAAACTCAATCCCAGCCTTCCCTTTGTGGTGTGGTACCTTGCAGTACAATTTCAGAGAGATCCATACACTTGAACACAAGTTATTGTCTGGAAACTAGAAAAATGCTTGTTTTTTGGCCCCAAATTCCTAAACGTTTTGGACAATTACCCCAAAACTTAAACCCAGCTTTCCCTTTGTGATATGGAACCTTGTAGTACAATTTCATAAAGATCCATACACTTACACACAAGTTATTGTCTGGAAACTAGAAAAATGCTTGTTTTTTGCCCCTTTTTGGCCCCTAATACCTAAAATTTTGAAGCAATTACCCCCAAAACCAATCCAAGCCTTTTCTTTGTGGTATGGTACCTTGCAGTACAATTTCAGAGAGATCCATACACTTGAACACAAGTTATTGTCTGGAAACTAGAAAAATGCTTATTTTTGGCCCCTTATTCCTAAATGTTTTGGGCAATTACCCCCAAACTCAATTCCAGCTTTCCCTTTGTGATATGGAGCCTTGTAGTACAATTTCAGAAAGATCCATACACTTACACCTAAGTTATTGGCATGAAACTAGAAAAATGCTTGTTTTTGGCCCCTTTTTTGGCCCCTAATTCCTAAAATTTTGAGGCAATTACCCCCAAAATCAATCCCAGCATTCCTTTTGTGATATGGAACCTTGTGGTACAATGTCAGAGAGATCCATACACTAACACACAAGTTATGTCTGGAAGTTACAAAAATGCTTATTTTTGGCCCCTTTTTGGCCCCTAATTCCTTAACTGTTGGTACCATAACCCCCAAAATCAATCCCAAACTTCCTTTTGTGGTATTGAACCTTATGGTAAAATTTGATAGAGATCCATTCACTTAAACTTAAATTAGAGTGCGAAACCAATGTGTCTTCAGACGACTACGCCAATGCCAACATCATATATACCAATATACGACCGCAAAATATAAAAAATAAAATGCTTCGCTGGGGCGCAGCTTGATACGACCGCAGAGGTCAAACCCTGAACAGTTGGGGCAAGAATGGACACAACATTCAAGCTTGATACAGCTCTGAATTTGGATTGTTATTAAATATTTGACACAGCATAGGTTTCTGACACAGAAAGAATGTGGTCTAAGAACTTGAATTTTTTTAATTTACCTATTATGGTCCAATGTCCAAAATCAAAATACATGGTTAGATTCAGCATATCAAAGAACCCCATATATTCAATTTTTGTTAAAATCAAACAAAGTTTAATTTTGGACCCCAACTTGGACAAACTTGAAAACTGGGCCCATAATCAAAAATCTAAACACATGTTTAGATTCAGCATATCAAAGAACCCCAAGAATTCAATTTTTGTTGAAATCAAACAAAGTTTAATTTTGGACCCCAATTTGGACCAACTTGAAAACTGGGCCCATAATCAAAAATCTAAATACATGTTTAGATTCAGCATATCAAAGAACCCCATATATTCAATTTTTGTTGAAATCAAACAAAGTTTAAATACTGGACCCTATCTTGGACCAACTTGAAAACTGGGCCAAAAATCAAAAATCTATATACATGGTTAGATTCAGCATATCAAAGAACCCCATATATTCAATTTTTGTTGAAATCAAAAAAAGTTTAATTTTGGACCCCAACTTGGACCAACTTGAAAACTGGGCCCATAATCAAAAATCTAAACACATGTTTAGATTCAGCATATCAAAGAACCCCAAGAATTCAATTTTTGTTGAAATCAAACAAAGTTTAATTTTGGACCCCAATTTGGACCAACTTGAAAACTGGGCCCATAATCAAAAATCTAAATACATGTTTAGATTCAGCATATCAAAGAACCCCATATATTCAATTTTTGTTGAAATCAAACAAAGTTTAAATACTGGACCCCATCTTGGACCAACTTGAAAACTGGGCCCATAATCAAAAATCTAAACACATGTTTAGATTCAGCAAATCAAAGAACCCCAAGAATTCAATTTTTGTCAAAATCAAACTAAGTTTAATTTTGGACCCTTTGGACCTCAATGTAGACCAATTTAAAAAACAGGACCCAAATTTAAAAACCTAAATACACGGTTAGATTTGGAATATCAAAGAACCCCAATAATTCAATTTTAGATGAAATCAAACAAAGTTTAATTTTGGACCCTTTTGACCTCAATATGAACCAATTAGATAACGGGGTCCACAAATAAAAAATCTAAATACATGTTTAGATTCAGCATATCTAGGTGTAATACCACCAAATCATAGTACGTCACATCCGGTTGCATACGAAAATAGGTCGAAAAAAAATATTCCTTTGAATTTGACAGTTGTAGGTAATTGATCCTACATTTCATTGCAGTAAAACATTTCTGAGTCATAAACATATATCTTGGGTATTTCAAAGCACCATTATTTCTTTATTTGGGGTTTCTATAGAATATTTTGGAAACTTGAGGTTACATGGTTACTAAAGCTTGTACACAGGTTAAAAAAGGGGAAAATTTGATTGGTTAACTTCCAGTGATGGTTATTTTCTTATATGCAATGAAATGTTATGTGAAATTTTTTCTATAGTACTGGACAGGATAAATCTTTACTCATGCCAAGTATTTCTTTATTTGAAACAAAGATAAATTCTGCACAATTTTTTGAAAAGTGCAAATTTAACAAAGACTAATAGGGGAAAATCAATGGTGGTATTACACCTAATATGGGAAGCTGTACATGCACCTTTGACCTTGTGAGTACTCTCATGTGTTAAAATTTCTTGCTATTTAAGTGAAATATTACAAATAATGAAATATTCTGAGTGGATTGAGTCTCCAAAATACATTTTATGAGAAAATTTCCTTGAAATTGGACTTTACCATGAATATTAGTTGACAGAACAAGCCATACTTAGAGTTTTGGGGAGCTTTTTCTCCTTATTTCTTATATTCTGCTATACTAGAAAATTTTTCCTAAGAAATACTTTAATTAATATATAGTTTTGAAAAAATGAAATTATTTTTAAAGCAGTAACAACAAATTATTCACCAAAAAAGAAGTTTTTTATGTCCCTCTCTGGAACGCGGCGTAAATTTAAGTTTTACGTAAGGACTTATTGAAACCTCCTTGGAGACAGTAAACTTTTATACGGATAGTTCATTCAGCTTGAATACTTCAATTAATCATTTATAATAACATTTCTATCATAAATGAGTGAAAGTTACCCCAAAATTTTTATTTATTGGCCTAAAAAGTAGAAATTTTGAGGAAATGAGAGATATAAATGGACCAAAAGAGACCTTATAAGGAAGACAAAGAGGTCCATTAGTAGTATTTATCATCCTAAAGTCATCTTTTGTATCATATTCAACTGTTTGTAGGCAGATGAGATAAATATTTGATCATATATTGGTCCACACTATATTCTATCATGATGCGGCTTGGTTTGGATTTTTCGAAGAAATTTTGCTCGAATCGCTGTAGATGTCGTCTTACATTATACTAGATTTTTCTCAAACTATTGAACTGATTATGACAAAACTTGACAGGAATGCTTGAAATAACCAGTATTACAAAGGAAAAAAGTCACATTCAGTTTATTTAACAAAAAAGTCTTCTTTAGGTGTAATACCACCAAATCATAGTACGTCACATCCGGTTGCATACGAAAATAGGTCGAAAAAAAATATTCCTTTGAATTTGACAGTTGTAGGTAATTGATCCTACATTTCATTGCAGTAAAACATTTCTGAGTCATAAACATATATCTTGGGTATTTCAAAGCACCATTATTTCTTTATTTGGGGTTTCTATAGAATATTTTGGAAACTTGAGGTTACATGGTTACTAAAGCTTGTACACAGGTTAAAAAAGGGGAAAATTTGATTGGTTAACTTCCAGTGATGGTTATTTTCTTATATGCAATGAAATGTTATGTGAAATTTTTTCTATAGTACTGGACAGGATAAATCTTTACTCATGCCAAGTATTTCTTTATTTGAAACAAAGATAAATTCTGCACAATTTTTTGAAAAGTGCAAATTTAACAAAGACTAATAGGGGAAAATCAATGGTGGTATTACACCTCAAAGAACCCCATATATTCAATTTTTGTTGAAATCAAACAAAGTTTAATTTTGGACCCCAATTTGGACCAACTTGAAAACTGGGCCAAAAATCAAAAATCTAAATACATGTTTAGATTCAGCATATCAAAGAACCTCATATATTCAATTTTTGTTGAAATCAAAAAAAGTTTAATTTTGGACCCCAACTTGGACCAACTTGAAAACTGGGCCCATAATCAAAAATCTAAACACATGTTTAGATTCAGCATATCAAAGAACCCCATATATTCAATTTTTGTTGAAATCAAACAAAGTTTAATTTTGGACCCCAATTTGGACCAACTTGAAAACTGGGCCAAAAATCAAAAATCTAAATACATGGTTAGATTCAGCATATCAAAGAACCCCATATATTCAATTTTTGTTGAAATCAAAAAAAGTTTAATTTTGGACCCCAACTTGGACCAACTTGAAAACTGGGCCCATAATCAAAAATCTAAACACATGTTTAGATTCAGCATATCAAAGAACCCCAAGAATTCAATTTTTGTTAAAATCAAACTAAGTTTAATTTTGGACCCTTTGCACCTCAATGAAGACCAATTTAAAAAACAGGACCCAAATTAAAAATCTAAAAACACGGTTAGATTTGGCATATCAAAGAACCCCAATAATTCAATTTTCGATGAAATCAAACAAAGTTTAATTTTGGACCCTTTTGACCTCAATATGAACCAATTTGATAGCGGGGCCTATAAATAAAAAATCTAAATACATGGTTAGATTCAGCATATCAAAGAACCTCATATATTCAATTTTTGTTGAAATCAAACAAAGTTTAATTTTGGACCCCAATTTGGACCAACTTGAAAACTGGGCCCATAATCAAAAATCTAAATACATGTTTAGATTCAGCATATCAAAGAACCCCGTATATTCAATTTTTGTTGAAATCAAACAAAGTTTAAATACTGGACCCTATCTTGGACCAACTTGAAAACTGGGCCCATAATCAAAAATCTAAACACATGTTTAGATTCAGCAAATCAAAGAACCCCAAGAATTCAATTTTTGTCAAAATCAAACTAAGTTTAATTTTGGACCCTTTGGACCTCAATGTAGACCAATTTAAAAAACAGGACCCAAATTTAAAAACCTAAATACACGGTTAGATTTGGAATATCAAAGAACCCCAATAATTCAATTTTAGATGAAATCAAACAAAGTTTAATTTTGGACCCTTTTGACCTCAATATGAACCAATTAGATAACGGGGTCCACAAATAAAAAATCTAAATACATGGTTAGATTCAGCATATCAAAGAACCCCATATATTCAATTTTTGTTGAAATCAAACAAAGTTTAATTTTGGACCCCAATTTGGACCAACTTGAAAACTGGGCCAAAAAACAAAAATCTAAATACATGTTTAGATTCAGCATATCAAAGAACCTCATATATTCAATTTTTGCTAAAATCAAACAAAGTTTAATTTTGGACCCTTTGGACATTAATGTAGACCAATTTGAAAACTGGACCCAAAATTAAAAATCTAAATACACTGTTAGATTCGGCATAACAAATAAATAAATGTGATCAAAAATTTTACAAATCTAATGCGCCATAGATTACTTCTTGAAATTTTTCAATATTTGAAATTTGAAAAAAAAATAATATTTGAAGAATAATTCTTTTTAATTTCTGAAATCTGGCCCCCCACAATTTCTTTTTATCCCCCCCCCCCCCCCCCCTTTTTCCCCCAAAAAAATTCTTTCCCTCAAGATATGGTCATAATCTCAATTCAAATTTCCAATGGAGTTGGCAACCATAATTACCCATTTAAATTTACCATAGTGCTAACTTAATCTATTTTATAATAGAATTAATAAAAATATAGTGTCAAATCTTTCATATGGATTTTTTTGTAAAAAAAAAAGATGAAAACATTTGCAGATATTTTTACTGGTCTTCCTTTATAAATATGCATTTCTTTAAACATAATTTAAAAGCAGTGTAAGGGAAGTAACCAAAACGTTGTATTTGGATTACCTCCCTTACACTGTTTTAGATTATCTTTATTGTTCATTAACCATTACTTTATACATAATTTAAAAGCAGTGTAAGGGAGATAATTTCAATGATGTATTTGATTTATCTCCCTTACACTGCTTTAAATTATGTTTTGTACTAAAGTATTTGTCAATTAACCAGGACAACCTTGTTTTTCCCCCTTTTTTGCCCCTAATTCCTAAACGGTTTGAGCTATAACCCCCCAAAGCAAATCCTAACCATCCCTTTGTGGTATGGAAACTTGTAGTATAATTTCAGAGAGATCCATACACCGTTCCACAGTTATTGTCTGGAAACTAGAAAATGCTCATTTTTGGCCCCTTTTTGGCCCCTAATTCCTTAACTGTTGGTACCATAACCCCCAAAATCAATCCCAACCTTCCTTTTGTGGTATTTAACCTTATGGTCAAATTTCAAAAAGATCCATTCACTTAAACTAAAGTTAGAGTGCGAAAACCAATATGTATTCGGACGACGACGCTGGACGACGACGACGACGCCAACGTCATACCAATATACGACCACAAAATTTTTTTGCGGTCGTATAAAAACAATACTAAAATTGGACCGAAAAAGTTCGTACAGGTTATGACCTGACATTTTCTTCTTCAATGCAGGTCATTACCTGCATTTTCATTTTCAGAGGTTGACAGGTATGGTTTTAGCAAATTCTTTTATTAATGACTGGATTCATTGAGTGTAAATTGTAAAAAACTATCATACAGTGATAATTTATTGATCAATAAATTATCACTGTATGATACTTATGATGTTATGATACTTTTCAAAGTTCAAATCATCTATGGTTTAACCCATCTTCCTATTTTTCGGAATATGTATACACTTGGAGGCTGAGGGCACTCATAATGTCCTAAGTTGCTGATGTTATTCTTTGAAATAAATTTCAATTAACTCAAATGAGAAAGTGTAGGTGCAAGAGTATTTCAATTTCCGACAGACCAACATTGGCATTTATATGTTTCCATAGTCCTTCATGGCAGGGACAAACATGTAATGTTTGAGAAATGTTTAAAATAGTTGTAATACGAAGTACCAAATTTTCAGCCATCCCTGTGTACAATGTTTATACTTCCAAAATGCCTTCAAAGAGTAAAACACCATTTTTTAGGGATGGCTGAATTATGGCAAACAATTTTTTAACTTTGGGGTTTTATTTTAATACCTCATCTTCTAACACAATTTTTGTTCCACCATATTCAGGTAATAAAACCTTGTCTCCTACTTGCACATTCATTGGTAATGTTTCTCCCTTCTGAAAAAACAAACAAACAATGAATTCTTTAATCATGCTACAGTTACAAAGCTGTATCCAGCAGTGTAAAAGTTTGGACATAACAAATGAAACATAAAAGATCAAATATACAGATATATTTCATTGGGCGAGGCACATGGGACATAGACCCTCTTCCCCTTTTTTATATTTGCTATATAACACACAATAGAATTTCTTTTAATTTCAGCTTACTTTCATTAATTAATATGTTCTTGCTAATACTAATGGTGAATGAATGATGACCCTTTCTCTTTCATACGGTGGTGGGGGTGGGTGGGTAGGAGGTGTTTATCACTTTTATTTATATTTGATCTCTTGATAGATATATGTAAACAGTTTCAGAAAAGTTATCACTCCAAGGGATTGAAATTCTACTTTTGGCCAATTTTTGGGGGAAATATGTGACATCTTTACCCGCTTTTTGCAATATTTCATAGCAATTAAAAATAGATTGATGCCATGGATACACCAAAAAGAAATTTTATTCAACCATCTTAACTACTGGAAATCAAATCTTTGGAAGGTACTGATTACATACATATGCACATATATATGACACAAACAGTAGGCTTAGTTTGTAAGAAAGCAAGGAAAAGGGGATGGTAAAATTTATCAGGGTAAATTTTTATTTTTTTTCCTAACTGTATACTGCTACCTATGATGTAGAGATATTGAAATCAGAAAAATAGTTTTTAAAGGGCTGTTCCAGAAATTTTGGATTCATTATTATTCATGGGTACCAATTTTTGTTGATTTCTTGGGTATAAGGAAACCACAAATTTAAATGTTCAATGAAGTATAAATTGTCTATAGGCTTGTATACAAACTTTAGCAATACCATGAAATCAAATATCCATGAAAATACATTTTTCTTCAATCCACGTAAAATTAGAACCCACAAAACATCAATGAATCAACCGTTAGTGATGTTTAGTGGTACATTTGTACATGTAAAATGTATTCCAAATACCGTTTCAATCCCTAACATCACTGAAGACACATTAATTGTCGAAATCCGGATATGGTGTACTAATTTTTGCACCTTTTGTTTGCAGTATACCATCTTTTCCACAAGTTTATTGTTTTCTGTTTGGTATTAAATTAATAATTTTAAAAGATCCATTTTGTAACAATCTTGTGATCCGTTTATTTGGCAATGGCCAATGGCAGTCAGCAGGGTTTAAGAACATCTGTTGTTCAACCTGTTAGTCAAATGCGTTTTGTTAAAATATACTTTTTCACTTTTTTGGTCTTTTGGAAAATGTTGTTTGTGCTGTATTTAGACCCCTCTATCAAGAAATGTGTTTTGCATGCACACGTATAAAAATTGCGGTTTTTATCCAACACAATCATAGGTTTGAATGTTGTTTTCAATCTAGACTTGTTTAAAATGTATACATGTATATATATATATATATAGATTATATCACTACATTGAGTGTGATACCATATTTCTACACTCAAGACATTTAAATTTGCCAACTTTAAATGTGAGGCTTATCATATTGCACTAGATTTGATGGTGAAATCTGTTTCTCTCAACAATTTTTAGATGATATGTAGATAAACTTTATCTTCCTTTTTAATGAGCTCTTGATATCAGTAAGGTTATTAAATAGGTATAGGACAGAGTATTATGTTTACTGATTAAAACTAGCTACACCTGTACAGGTATTTACTATGCATGTATATACATTTGTTTTGGATCCACTGCCAACTGCTAATACAGTAGCCTGTTGAACTTTTCCCTGGGCCTTTTCTGGAATCATAATGCCACTTTTTGTCTTCATTTCTGGAGCAAACCTCTCTACCAGAACTCTGTCAAACATGGGTATAAATTTCTTGAAAGCACGTGCCTGCAATTGGAAAAGACAAAATACATAAAATAAAACTTGTAGGTTTATACATGTTTACTCACATAGATTCCTTAGTTTCTATTATTTGTTTTCAGATATTGTCAGTGATTTGAATAACTTTGCAAATCAGAAAATCAAAGAATCTTAAATAAAATGCTCTCCTGGGCACAGCTTGCGTATCAAGATACGACCGCAGAAGTCCAACCCTGAAATTAGGGCAAGTATGGACACTACATTCAAGCTTAATACAGCTCTGAATTTGGATTGAGATTAATTATTTGACACAGAATAAATGTGGTCAAAGAACTGAAAAATTGGAAATTGGACTTTTACCTATTATGGTCCAATATCCAAAATCTAAAATTCTAAATACAAGGTTAGTCTCAGCATATCCAAGTACACTTAGAATTTAATTAAAATTTAGAATGGAAATGGGGAATGTGTCAAATAGACCACAACCCGACCAAAGAGCAGAAAACAGCCCAAGGCCACCAATGGGTCTTCAACACAGTGAGAAAATTATTTATTTATTAATGGATAACATAAGCTAAGTTTTTAAAGGGATTTGCTTCATCCAAAAAAAAAAAAAATATATATAAGCATTCTGAAAATTAATTTACACAGAATAAATAAACTGCTTCACCAAGCGCAGCTGGATACGACTGCAGAGGTCCAACCCTGAACAGTTGGGGCAAAAATGGACACAATATTCAAGCTTGATACAGGTCTGAATTTGGATTGTAATTAAATATTTGACACATTATATAGAATAAATGTGTCAAAGAACTTCAAATTGGTTGTATGACTTAAATTATATTCAATTGAAGATTTCTTGCTGTTGTGCAATACACTGTGCTGTTGTGCAATACTTAGTAAATCTGTTTTCAGACTATATACAAAGAATTAGCAAAATAAATTGTGACCCCCAAATTTTTTTCTTTTTGTAAAATGTGGTACAAATTAAGAGACATCCATACACCTAAACACAAGTTATTGTCTGAAAACTAGAAAAATGCTTGTTTTAGACACTTTTTTGCCCCTAATTCCTGAACGGTTAGGGCAATTACCCCCAAAATGAATCCCAACCTGACTTAGGACAGGTGCAAACAAATGCAGCGGGTTTAAACGTTTTAATGGTACCAAACCTTCACCCTTTTTCTGAAACAATAGTGTAACATAGAAAGACACACTATAAAATATCAAATGAAATAGCTTAACTCAATCAAAGGACATATTAACACCACTGAACAAATAAATTTGACCTATGATACAATGTAAATACAAAATAAATAAACTAAGGGAAGAATAATAAAAGTAACATGTTATATCGGTCAGAAATGTTTAACAATTAAAGAAAAACAATATGCTCGAACAAAAATATCAGCCATTTGCAATAACTTTAAACACAGGTAAATGAAAATAATTTTGTTGTTAGGTATACGTGTACAGTACCAATAGAGAAAGGAAATATTTTTAGGATACTGTCTACTTACATTTTGGCATTGCACAAATTCATTAGTTTCTCAGACTGTTCATGAAGTCTTTCCACTAAATCTAATGGATGTGTACTGATTGATACTTTAGGCTTGGAGAACATGATTTATTTATTAGCTGTAATTGGCTCTGAACTAGCTTTCAGTAACTGTGAGTACTCTTATTTCGGTGCTTTCTGTTAGTTGTTTTTGTGTCTTGTACAATGTACCAATATTTAGAGTTAAGCCAATTTCAACTAATTTGTACAGTTTGTTCTTATGTATAAAAATAAATTAGGCTGTTAGTTTTCTCCTTTGAATAGTTTCACATTTTCCATATAGGACCTTTCATAGCTAACAATACTGTATGGGTTTTTCTCAATGTTGAAGGCCGTACAGCTGGTCTTTATTAATTGCTTACATTCAATTCCTTTGAACTCTGGAAGATAGTTATCTTATTTGGCAATCATACCTTATTTTCATATAAGCATATCTATCATCTTCATTCACAGGAATAACATTATAAGATTTTTAATCAAGATGCTTTTATGTGTGTCAATAAAAACATCAGCTAACAAATTGTAGCAAGCATACCATATTTAGCTGTGTATTGTATGCAGTTGTGTATAATACGCACCCCATTTCATTTCTCCAAAATCGTGAAAAAAGGTTAAAAATATTTAAAGAGTTAGTAAAAAAATTCAAAAAATAAAAAGATTTTTTTTTAAGAAAAACAAAGTAAAAACAAAAATTTAAAAAAGTCTAATTCACTGTAAATAGGGAACAATTAAACCATGTATTTAATCTGTATTTAAGTCTATTGAAAGATAAAAATAATATATAAGATTGATTGTTCAATCAAATTGTTTAATTAAATAATTTATTGTCATTAACAATACACCTTATCACTATTTAGTCCAATCAAGGAAAAAGTTTAATACTTAAACAACTTCCTGTTGAGGTCAAGCGGAACAAAACAAAAGTCATCAGCAATGAGCTGTGGGAGGAAAAAGTTTAGAAAGTGGACATTTTAAAATTTTCATAGTTTAAGAAGCAATTTTTTTAATCAAATTTAAGTCATTGAAAATGCTTATTTTGAAGTGTTTACGATGGTTTAAACATGTCTCTATGAACAGTTTAATACACAATACTTTGTTTGAACAAGGTCCCACATAGATCCACCTGGTTTGAAAAGTTCTGTTATTTTAGAACTTATCTGATAGGCATAAATAGCGATAAGGTGTATTATTGATGTTTTAAATGGTAAACAGTGTTATCTATTGTTAGCATCAATTGTGAAACCAATGATGTAAGGTAATATTTACATCACTTTTGTGTATGAAACATGTATTAAATAATTACTTTAAAATGATTGTTTGGTAGAGTTTATTGTTATCTATAATACATATATGCCTTTAAAAAGTGAAGAGATTCAAAATTGATATTAATTTTGAAAAGGTAAGTTATACTTTTAATTAGCTTCTTATACGGATTTGTCCTTTTCACATGTGATACCTGCCTTATATACACTGGTTCAGACGTACTTATATATATAATTATATATACAAATAACATGTGATACGATTTCTCCCACACCTAACAGATTCAAATTTAAAAAAAAACATGTTCTGATTGACTACATTCGATCTTACCATTTTATTTCGGTAGTTGAAGCTAAATTTACTAGACCAGCTATATCTTTTTTACTTGACAATGCTTGATCCGTTTACGCAACAGAAAACTACCAAGGTCAACTGATGTAAATGTGCCGGCAACAGAATTCTCCAGAATACCGGAACCACGTGTTGGTCAAGTTACCTCTTTACTCGACATTCTCTGATTTTATTTAATATAATAATGAAAAAGTCTGAAAGGTTCCGGGATGTAACGGCATGTGCCCTGCAATCGGCAAGTATTATGACAGTACCCTAGCTTACAACGATTTCCACGGCTTTAGGGTATAATACATAATTTAAATGGACATCAGAAAATAAAATGCTTGCCAGATCATTATTTCATGGATTGTTTTTCTCGTTATGACAATAATTGTCTTTACTTGTTGAAGAATAAATTCAAATATACCTGCTGAAGGGCCAATTTATTCACTGCGCATGCCAGAATATATTCTTAAGTTCCGGTTACCATCAGCCACACTGCCTCAGCATACATGCGATCTAGCAGAGCAGTATTTGAAGGGCAAGGCAAATAGAATACATAGAAGAATCATTTCACGCTATCAGATTATTTAAGTAAGGTATAACTAATTATTGCAGACACATTTATATCATAACGACAGCTATCAGTCGTATTTAATTGCGTAATAACTTGGTCAGAATACAACCACGTGGGTCAACGAGCATGCATCCTAGGAAAAACGTGTACTGATTGTCCTGTACTCTGTAGGTCGAACTTGCGTTAATCTGACACATATTTACTGTTTAGCAGACATGCAACATTTTAAGTCTATATTTGATGCAAATTACGTTTTATATGTTCAATCTTCTGAATGACCAACGTTCTGGAAAGGGAGACGTTATTTCATCAGACTTAAGTCATTAGACATTACTGTTGATTGTCTATGCTGTTCTTAGTAAAAAGATAAGGTGTATGTTGTTGCACCCACCGATTTCAATTAGACTTTAAATGGCCTTGATCTCATTTGTAGTTATTCAAATTAGTAGATTTAGTGACTGTTGAGCTGAAAGTATCTTAATTAGTTACAAAGAAATGAACATGTATATCTTACAGATTTCTTTTCAGCAGTAAAGAACAGTGTGAGAGTTAATCTTTAAAATATTGCAGTAAGGAAGAAGTGTGTCAAATCATGCAAACACCTTGTGCATTTTTTTTGGTATTGTTGGCTCATCATGTCAAGTGTCATCATTTAGGTTTCTGCTCAACAAACTTTTGAATCATACAATAAACCTACCAAACTGGGTTAATAATGTTCAACGAGTATGGAATAACTCTGTTGATTTATTTGTTTAAATGTCAAGGTCACAATTAACAGCTGTTGGTGGCTGGAAAGTTGGGAAAACATTTCAGTATCTTGATGTTAACCTTTTGAATATTTGGTCCAACTATTACCATACTTGCTTTGATTTTGCCCCATGGAATGATAAAAACCTGTTTTGATTTTGGGGTTAAAGCTCCAAGCCACAGCAGCAATTGATAAACAGGAATTTGGGCATAAATGTGGTTTCTGGATGATCTTTTGAACCATTTTTTCTACTTTATAGCAAACTTGATTTGATAATGCCTTATTGAATGAAGAAGACAAATACATGTACTCATTTTGAGGTCACTAGGTCTACAGTCAAGGTCACTTCTTGTATTACAGATAGGAGTTAAAGATGTACAGATTACCAAGTATTCTACGCCCTGCTCTCTCAAGGAGAATGTCACCTGCACTTGTCAGAACTTATGCCAAAGAGATAAAGTTTGGAGCAGATGCAAGAGCCATGATGCTTCAGGGAGTTGATTTGTTGGCAGATGCAGTTGCTGTTACAATGGGACCAAAGGTATGATTATTCATGTATCATAAAATTGAGAATGGAAATGGAGAATATGTCAAAGAGACAACAACATGATCTAAGGCCACCAATGGGTCTTCAAAACAGCGAGAAAATCCTGCACCTGGAGGTGGGCTTCAGCTGGCCCCTGAGGACTCAAAACTTTTGAATCAAAGGGTAAAGTGACTATCTGAACAGGCCTCGACAATAACGCTTGTCCGATTGTTTGTTACCAGAGGACGTATTATGGTATACCGTTGTCCGTCCGTCGTCAACATGTCGGACATTAACTCAAAAACACTTTAACCAATTTGCATAAAACTTAAGTGAAATGTTTATATCTATTGACGTGAGCTCCCTTTCATTTTTTATAAATTTTAGATTTTACGTTTCCGAGTTATGGGGTTTTATTCATTAAGAAAGGGGGATTTTCCAGTTTTCGGACAATAACTCAAGAATGCTTTCACCAACTTGCAAGAAATTGTGGTAAATTGTTTATATCTATTGACATGAGCTCCCTTTGATTTTTATATATTTTAGATTATACGTTTCTGAGTTACAGGGTTTTATTCATAAAAAAAGGGGGATTTTCCAGTTTTCGGACAAAAAATCAAAAATGCTTTCAGCAGTTCTTATGAAACTTTGGTGACTTGTTTATATCTATTGATGTAAGCTCTGTTTAAAATTTTATAAATTTTACATTTTACATTTCTGAGTTATGGGGTTTTATTTATTAAAAAAGGGGGGATTTTCCAGTTTTTGGACAATAACTCAAAAATGCTGTCAGCAATTCACATGAAACTTTGGTGAATTGTTTATATCTATTGATGTAAGCTCCCTTTACATTTTTCATAAATTTCTAATATGACATTGAGAATTAATTGAACTTTAATTGTTTATAGTCTGACAACAGATTTACTAAGTATTGCGCAACAGCACAGTGTATTGCACAACAGCAAGAAATCTTTAAATGAATATAAATTCAATTCATATAACCAATTTCAAGTTCTTTGACTACATTTATTCAGAAACCTATAATATGTCAAATATTTAATACAATCCAAATTCAGACCTGTATCAAGCTTGAATATTGTGTCCATTGCCCCAACTGTTCAGGGTTGGACCTCTGCGGGCGTATCCAGCTGCGCTCAGCGAAGCAGTTTATTCTAGTTTCCAGACAATAACTTGTGGAAAGGTGTATGAATCTCTGAAATTATACCACAAGTTTCCATACCACAAAGGGATGGTTAGGATTGACTTTGGGGGGTTATGGCTCAAACCGCTTAGGAATTAGGGGCGAAAAAGGGGGAAAACAAGGGTTTCCTGGTTAATGGACAATTTAAAAGCAGTGTAAGGGAGGTAATCCAAACACATTTAAAGTACAATGTTGTGTATGTTTGGATTACCTCCCTTACACTGCTTTTAAATTATGTAAAAAGAAATGTATTGTCATGAGGTGATTAGCTGTCAATTTATTTTTAGAATTTATTATTATAGGAATATTAATTTTAGCCATGATTATGTATGTCATTTTCTATTATAAGACTTTTATGATGTATTTAATTGGTAATTACGGTTGCAAACTCCATTGGAAATTTGAATTGAGATAATGACCATATCTTGAGGGAAAGAATTTTTATTTTTGGAAAAAGGGAGGGGGCAATTTTTCTCATTACAGATTTCAGAAATTGATAAAGAAAATTTCTTCAAATATTGTTTTTTTTGGGGGGGGGGGGGTAAAAAGAAATTGTGGGGGGTCAATTTTTTTCTTATTTCAGATTTCAGAAATTAAAAAGAAAAATTCTTCAAATATTATTTTTTTTCTAAAAAAGTGGGGGTGGGGGTCAATACACAACAGCAGTGTATTGCACCACAGCAAAAATAAGGGGGGGGTAAATTTTTTTTTGTTTTTTTTTGGGGGGGGGGGTCAATTTGCAACGGCATGGTGTATTGCTCTAAAGCAAAAAAAAATGAATATAAATTCAAATCATATAAACACTTATAAGTTATTTGACTACAGTTATTCTGTGTCAGAAACCTATTATGTGTCAAATATTTAATTACAATCCAAATTCAGACCTGTATCAAGCGCGAATATTGTGTCCATTTTCGCCCAAACTGTTCAGGGTTGGACCTCTGCGGTTGTATCCAGCTGCACTCAGCGAAGTATTTTATTTTGTCAGCTATAACAGATAGAGATAAATTTTTAAACAGGAAAACTGTCCAGAACAATAAGATCTATAAATAAGTCAAACTTGGCAGAAATTGTCAAATGACCTATAATAGGAGTTATTTCTCAAGAAAGGCATTTTAAATGTTTAAAAATAATCTTTTCCTGAAACTACAGGTCCAAATGTAACCAAACTTTACCTGGATGTTCCATAGGGTATCCTTTTAAAAAATTGTATCAGAGGATTTGATCCATCAACAGACATTGTCACTGATGCAAAAAATCAAACAAAGTCGTAAAAAATGCAGTTTTTATACGCCCTTTTATGGGACGTATTATGGTATACTGCTGTCCGTCCGTCCGTCGTCAACATGTCGGACATTAATTCAAAAATGCTTTAACCAATATGCATGAAACTTTGGTGAATTGTTTATTATACGACCGCAAAAAAATTTTGTGGTCGTATATTGGTATGACGTTGGCGTCGTCGTCGTCGTCCGAATACATATTGGTTTTTCGCACTCTAACTTTACTTTAAGTGAATGGATCTTTTTGAAATTTGACCATAAGGTTAAATACCACAAAAGGAAGGTTGGGATTGATTTTGGGGGTTATGGTACCAATAGTTAAGGAATTAGGGGCCAAAAAGGGGCCAAAAATGAGCATTTTCTAGTTTCCAGACAATAACTGTGGAACGGTGTATGGATCTCTCTGAAATTATACTACAAGTTTCCATACCACAAAGGGATGGTTAGGATTTGCTTTTGGGGGTTATGGCTCAAACCGTTTAGGAATTAGGGGCAAAAAAGGGGGAAAAACAAGGTTGTCCTGGTTAATGGACAAATACTTTAGTACAAAACATAATTTAAAGCAGTGTAAGGGAGATAAATCAAATACATCATTGAAATTATCTCCCTTACACTGCTTTTAAATTATGTATAAAGTAATGGTTAATGAACAATAAAGATAATCTAAAACAGTGTAAGGGAGGTAATCCAAATACAACGTTTTGGTTACTTCCCTTACACTGCTTTTTAATTATGTTTAAAGAAATGCATATTTATAAAGGAAGACCAGTAAAAATATCTGCAAATGTTTTCATCTTTTTTTTTTACAAAAAAATCCATATGAAAGATTTGACACTATATTTTTATTAATTCTATTATAAAATAGATTAAGTTAGCACTATGGTAAATTTAAATGGGTAATTATGGTTGCCAACTCCATTGGAAATTTGAATTGAGATTATGACCATATCTTGAGGGAAAGAATTTTTTTGGGGGGAAAAGGGGGGGGGGGATAAAAAGAAATTGTGGGGGGCCAATTTTTTCTCATTTCAGATTTCAGAAATTAAAAAGAATTATTCTTCAAATATTATTTTTTTTTCAAATTTCAAATATTGAAAAATTTCAAGAAGTAATCTTTAATTGCACAGTATGGCGCATTAGATTTGTAAAATCTTTGATCACATTTATTTATTTGTTATGCCGAATCTAACAGTGTATTTAGATTTTTAATTTTGGGTCCTGTTTTTATACGACTGCAAAAATTAAAAATTTTTTGGTCGTATATTGGTATGACGTTGGCGTCGTCGTCGTCGTCGTCGTCGTTGTCGTCGTCGTCGTCGTCTGGCGTCGTCCGAAGACACATTGGTTTTCGCACTCTAACTTTAGTTTAAGTGAATGGATCTCCATGAAATTTCACCATAAGGTTCAATACCACGAAAGGAAGGTTGGGATTGATTTTGGGGGTTATGGTACCAACAGTTAAGGAATTAGGGGCCAAAAAGGGGCCAAAAATAAGCATTTTTGTAATTTTCAGACAATAACTTGTGTGTAAGTGTATAGATCTCTCTGACATTGTACCACAAGGTTCCATATCACAAAGGAAAGGCTGTAATTGATTTTGGGGGTAATTGCCTCAAAATTTTAGGAATTAGGGGCCAAAAAAGGGGCAAAAAACAAGCATTTTTCTAGTTTCATGACAATAACTTGTGTGTAAGTGTTTGGATATTTCTGAAATTGTACTACAAGGTTCCATATCACAAAGGGAAAGCTGGAATTGAGTTTGGGGGTAATTGCCCGAAACGTTTAGGAATTGGGGGCCAAAAAGGGGCCAAAAATAAGCATTTTTCTAGTTTCCAGACAATAACTTGTGTTCAAGTGTATGGATCTCTCTGAAATTGTACTGCAAGGTACCATACCACAAAGGGAAGGCTGGGATTGAGTTTGGGGGTGATGAATCATAAGGGGGTTCAAAAAATTTGGGGGGGGAGATTTTTTTTTTTTTCTTTTTTTCCTTTTTTTTTTCTTTTAAAATTTTCCATTTTAAGTTGATTATTTCTGATTTATATTTAAAAGCAAATAATAATGATATGGTAGGAGATACACACCAAACAGGATGTGTAAATTATTATATAATAAGTATTGTGCAATAGCAAGAAATTTTCAATTGCACAGTATTGCACAATAGCAAGAAATCTTCAATTGCACAGTATTGCGCAATAGCAAGAAATCTTCAATTGCACAGTATTGCGCAATAGCAAGAAATATCCAATAGCACAATATTGCGCAATAGCAAGAAATTGTCAATTGTACAGTATTGCGCAATAGCAAGAAATATTCAATTGCACAGTGTTGTGCAAAAGAAGATACTTCGTATAAATTGCTTATTTCTTGATCAATTTCAATGGGGTTTTATTCTTGAATTCTTGGGGTTCTTTAATATGCTGAATCTAACCGTGTATTAAGTTTTTGGATTTTGGGCCCCGTTTTTAAATTGGTCCACATTGAGGTCCAAAGGGTCCAAAATTTAACTTTGTTTGATTTCATCAAAAATTGAATTATTGGGGTTCTTTGATATGCCGAATCTAACCGTGTATTTAGATTTTTAATTTGGGGTCCCGTTTTTTAAATTGGTCTACATTAAGGTCCAAAGGGTCCAAAATTAAACTTAATTTGATTTTAACAAAAATTGAATTCTTGGGGTTCTTTGATATGCTGAATCTAAACATGTGTTTAGATTTTTGATTATGGGCCCAGTTTTCAAGTTTGTCCAAGTTGGGGTCCAAAATTAAACTTTGTTTGATTTCAACAAAAATTGAATATATGGGGTTATTTGATATGCAAAATCTAAACATGTATTTAGATTTTAGATTTTTGGCCCAGTTTTCAAGTTGGTCCAAATTGGGGTCCAAAATTAAACTTTGTTTGATTTCAACAAAAATTGAATATATGGGGTTCTTTGATATGCTGAATCTTACCATGTATTTAGATTTTTTATTTGTGGGCCTGCTATCAAATTGGTTCATATTGAGGTCAAAAGGGTCCAAAATTAAACTTTGTTTGATTTCATAAAAAATTGAATTATTGGGGTTCTTTGATATGCCAAATCTAACTGTGTATTTAGATTTTTAATTTTGGGTCCTGTTTTTTAAATTGGTCTACATTAAGGTCCATAGGGTCCAAAATTAAACTTAGTTTGATTTTAACAAAAATTGAATTTTTGGGGTTCTTTGATATGCTGAATCTAAACATGTGTTTAGATTTTTAATTATGGGACCAGTTTTCAAGTTGGTCCAAGTTGGGGTCCAAAATTAAACTTTGTTTGATTTCAACAAAAATTGAATATATGGGGTTCTTTGATATGCTGAATCTAAACATGTATTTAGATTTTAGATTTTTGGCCCAGTTTTCAAGTTTGTCCAAATTGGGGTCCAAAATTAAACTTTGTTTGATTTCAACAAAAATTGAATATATGGGGTTCTTTGATATGCTGAATCTTACCATGTATTTAGATTTTTTATTTGTGGGCCCGCTATCAAATTGGTTCATATTGAGGTCAAAAGGGTCCAAAATTAAACTTTGTTTGATTTCATCAAAAATTGAATAATTGGGGTTCTTTGATATGCCAAATCTAACCGTGTTTTTAGATTTTTAATTTTGGGTCCCGTTTTTTAAATTTGTCTACATTAAGGTCCAAAGGGTCCAAAATTAAACTTAGTTTGATTTTAACAAAAATTGAATTCTTCGGGTACTTTGATATGCTGAATCTAAACATGTGTTAAGTTTTTTGATTATGGGACCAGTTTTCAAGTTTGTCCAAGTTGGGGTCCAAAATTAAACTTTGTTTGATTTCAACAAAAATTGAATATATGGGGTTCTTTGATATGCTGAATCTAACCATGTATTTTGATTTTGGACATTGGACCATAATAGGTAAATTAAAAAAATTGAAGTTCTTAGACCACATTCTTTCTGTGTCAGAAACCTATGCTGTGTCAAATATTTAATCACAATCCAAATTCAGAGCTGTATCAAGCTTGAATGTTGTGTCCATACTTGCCCCAACTGTTCAGGGTTCGACCTCTGCGGTCGTATCAAGCTGCGCCCAGCGAAGCATTTTATTTAAATTGGTCTACATTGAGGTCCAAAGGGTCCAAAATTAAACTTAGTTTGATTTTGACAAAAATTGAATTCTTGGGGTTCTTTGATTTGCTGAATCTAAACATGTGTTTAGATTTTTGATTATGGGCCCAGTTTTCAAGTTGGTCCAAGATACGGTCCAGTATTTAAACTTTGTTTGATTTCAACAAAAATTGAATATATGGGGTTCTTTGATATGCTGAATCTAAACATGTATTTAGATTTTTTATTATGGGCCCAGTTTTCAAGTTGGTCCAAATTGGGGTCCAAAATTAAACTTTGTTTGATTTCAACAAAATTTGAATATATGAGGTTCTTTGATATGCTGAATCTAACCATGTATTTAGATTTTTTATTTGTAGGCCCCGCTATCAAATTGGTTCATATTGAGGTCAAAAGGGTCCAAAATTAAACTTTGTTTGATTTCATCGAAAATTGAATTATTGGGGTTCTTTGATATGCTGAATCTAACCATGTATTTAGATTTTTTATTTGTAGGCCCCGCTATCAAATTGGTCTTCATTGAGGTCCAAAGGGTCCAAAAATTAAACTTAGTTTGATTTTAACAAAAATTGAATTCTTGGGGTTCTTTGATATGCTGAATCTAAACATGTGTTTAGATTTTTGATTATGGGCCCAGTTTTCAAGTTTGTCCAAGTTGGGGTCCAAAATTAAACTTTGTTTGATTTTAACAAAAATTGAATATATGGGGTTCTTTGATATGCTGAATCTAACCATGTATTTTGATTTTGGACATTGGACCATAATAGGTAAATTAAAAAAATTCAAGTTCTTAGACCACATTCTTTCTGTGTCAGAAACCTATGCTGTGTCAAATATTTAATAACAATCCACATTCAGACCTGTATCAAGCTTGAATGTTGTGTCCATACTTGCCCCAACTGTTCAGGGTTCGACCTCTGCGGTCGTATCAAGCTGCGCCCCAGCGAAGCATTTTATATCTATTGACGTGAGCTCCATTTCGTTTTTTATAAATTTCGGATTTACCATTTCTGAGTTTTGGGGTTTTATTCATTAAAAAAGGGGGGATTTTCCAGTTTTCGGACAATAACTCAAAAACAATTTCACCATTTTGCATGAAACTTTTGTGCATTGTTCATATCTATTGACGTGAGCTCCCTTTTGTTTTATATAAATTTCGGATTCACTGTTTCCAAGTTTTGGGATTTTATTCATTAAAAAAGGGGTGATTTTCCATTTTTCAGACAATAACTCAAAAACAATTTCACCAATTTGCAAGAAACTTTGGTGAATTGTTTATTTCTATTGACATGAGCTCCCTTTTGATTTTTATAAATTTCAGAATATATATTTATGGGGTTTTATTCATTACAAAATGGGGATTTTCAAGTTATCGGACAATAACTCAAAAACGCTTTCAGCATTTTTTATGAGACTTTGGTAAATTGTTTATATCTATTTTTGTAAGCTCCCTTTTGATTTTTATAAATTTTCGATTTTACATTTCAGAGTTATAAGATTTTATGTGTTTATAGTCTGACAACACATGTGCTAAGTATTGTGCAACAGCACAGTGTATTGCACAACAGCAAAAAATCTTTCATATAACCAATTTCAAGTTCTTTGACTTCATTTAAACCTATAATATATCAAATATTTAATTACAATCCAAATTCAGACCTGTATCAAGCTTGAATATTGTGTCCATTTTTGCCCCAACTGTTCAGGGTTGGACCTCTGCGGGCGTATCCAGCTGTGCTCAGCGAAGCAGTTTATTGCTTGTATGTCAAAACTAAAGCAGTTAGCAACAAATCTGATGAGGTACAAATGATCACCTGAGGATTTATCAGAAAAATCAGACAATCCATTTAGGAGTATTCCCTGAAATGTCAATTTTGAGTTCATTTCAAATTTTTTGGCTTAAATCTTTAAACTTAAGCAATTGGAGCAATCTAAAGAAGTGTAGAATTGACCAGTCTGTCAAGGTCTATCTCCTATGGTATTTTCAGAAAAAATGGACAACCCATTTTGGAGTTGTTGCCACTGAAATGTAATTTATTTTTAAATTATCAGTTTTTGTCTCGCCTTGACGGAGTCAAAAAGCGAGACATAGGTATGCTGTTTCCGGCGGCGGCGTGAACGATGTATTAGTTTGTGATTAGGTCTAGTTCATGGTGTACCACTAGTGGTAGGTCAATGATATTTGGTATGCAGTTGTATTACCATTGAGATTATTTGGCCCCGCCCCCTCAGTCAAGATCTATTGACTTTGAAACTTTTCATAGTTAACATGTATTAGTTTGTGATTAGGTCAATTTATGGGGAACCACTAGAGGTAGTACAATAATATTTGGTATGCAGTTGTATAAGCATGGGCATATCTCATTTCCATGGAGATTATTTGGCTCCGCCCCCTTAGTCGTGGTCTATAGACTGAAAATTTTGCTAAGTTCACATGTATTAGTTTGTGATTAGGTCAGTTCAAGGGGACCCATTAGTGGTAGGCCAATGTTAATTGGTGTTCAGTTGTATAAGCATTAGCACATCTCATTTCCATGGAGAATATTTGGCCCCGCCCCCTCAGTCATGGTCTATTTACTTTGAAACTTTTGCTTAGTTTACATGTGTTAGTTTGTGATTAGATCAGTTTAAGATGAACTGCTAATGTTAAGTCATTGATATTTGGTATGCAAATTTATTGGCATTTGCAAGTATCGTTTCCATGGAGATTATATAGCCCCACCCCTGATCATGGTTCATTGACTTTGAAACTTTTACATAGTTTACAAGTTAATGTTTGTGTTAAGGTTTGATGAAAGGGATCGACTTATAATAAGTCAATGGTATTTGGTATGCAGTTGTATAAGCATTGGCACATCTCATTCCATGGAGATTGTTTAGCCATGTACCTTCAGTCATGGTTCATCGACTTTGAATATTTGCATTACTTACACGTTAAAGTATTGCAATTTTAATTTCAACATTTGCATTATCAAAATTACAAAAAAGGCGAGACATATCTCTGTGATAACAGTTTATTGGTTATTATCTTGGAAGCCTCTTGTTTTTATTTGATCAACACAACTTAAGTATCCTTATCAGATCTTTAAATCAAATCCAGTATTACATTTACCTATATTTCTGGTTAGCTGCCATTTGTCAAAGTTCTTTTTGTCAGATATGTTTTTACTCTGTTTTTACACAATACATTTGTACATGTTGACAGTTTTGGGCATTAAGCTATATATAGCTAGCTGTTGAACAAGAAGAATATTGCTGTCAGGAACAAAACTGGTGAAAATATAATTTGAGCATTTCTCAGTGAAGTTGCGAGTCTGCTCTAAAAAATCAGGGTTGGTCATTGTACAATAAACACACACACTGTTTTTTTTTTCATAATTCTAAAACCTTCATTTCAGGGACGAAATGTAATCATTGAACAAAGCTGGGGGTCTCCAAAAATAACAAAAGATGGAGTTACAGTTGCCAAATCTATTGAACTAAAGGATAAGTATCAGAACATAGGGGCTAAACTGGTACAAGATGTGGCTAATAACACCAATGAAGAGGCTGGAGATGGAACTACCACAGCAACTGTACTGGCCAGATCTATAGCCAAGGAAGGGTTTGAAAAGATCAGCAAAGGAGCAAATCCAATTGAAATTAGACGAGGTAGATTATTTGACTACATGTACAGGAAGGTTATGTACATGTTACCGTATTGATCACTTTTGATACATTATACAGTTGAACATGATTGTGTTGAAAACTCTTGACAAATCGACGTACAATGTATTTTGTCAGTCCCAGTAAATTCCTGTTTTGCTCAGTGTTTTTAGTCCCCCTACCGACGAAGTCGAAAGGGACTTTAGGTTTGCACTCAGTCCTTCTGTCTGTCTGTCAGTTCATCCGTCAGTCCGGGAAATCAGTTTTCCACTTTTTTTCTTCGTGCTTGAAGATTTTGATTTGATATTTTATATATTGTTTTATCATGACAAGTTACATTCAAGTTCAAATTTTGTTCCGGTCTGATAATTTTGTGCAGAGTTGTGGTCTTTGGACAAAGAAAATTCACTTAAATAATCAGTTTTCTATACTTTTTTTCGTCATGCTTGAAGATATTGACTTGATATTTGTTATATATATAGTTACACCATGACAAGTTATAGATCAAGTTAGCATTTTGTTACAGTACAATTAATTTTTAACTGGTAGGGGACTATGTATTGTCTCAGAATGCTTGTTGAAATTGACATTGACCTCTTTTGAGACTTAATTTCGGTTGATTTAAAATCTCTGTTAACTCAAATATATTAAAAAAGTCCCCTAGAAGAACATTAAGGAGTAAGTTCGGTAAGGGCCATATTTGACTTGATTATAAAGTTTATCGTTTCAAGATAAAAAAATGTTTGTGTTAAGCATTTTATCTGAGATAATCATTGTATTTATATGAACTAAAAAGACCCAAGTTGAGAAACCAAAATCAATAAAAGACGAATAATTATAATAAAATTGATAGCATTGTGCAGTAAAAAGATGAAGGCTTTACTGTGCCAGAAAGGAAAAAGTTGAAAATATTCCTCTAACTTTTTGTCTAGTCTCGCAACTACTTTAAATTATATTAAATTATCATTGTAGACCCATACATGTATACGCATCAAAGCAGACCGTGATATGATGTGAAAAATATGTACATCTAAGTTACGGTTTATTTTCTCATGTTTATGAAATAATTATTTTAAAATAAAACATGGAATATTGATACAGAAAGATAGAAATTAAAAACAGTCTTCCACATTCACATACAAAGTGCTCTTTTGAGTTTGGAGAATACTTGGTTCCTGGCGACAAGCTCACAACCTCGGATGAGTCGAACAATTATGGTTAGGTCTGACTATTATATGTGTTATCAGTGACCAGAAATATTATTATGCACTATTCTTCCCTGCTATAATTGTTGTATTATAGAAGGTGTTCTTAAGTGCCACATTGATAACAGGAGATTGTCTAAACATACAGGTAGTGTACTGTTTGCTTAAAACAATCTGTTGTGACATTCTATAAATGTGTAAAAAAAAATTGTACCAAGGATAGTCAAATTTTGGAACAGGGATTTAAGGAGATTGGTTTATAGAAAGTTACAATTATCAAATAAACTGCGTTTTTAGCTCACCTGGCCAAAAGGCCCAGTGAGCTTTTCTCATCACTTGGCATCGGTCGTCGTTAATTTTTACAAAAATCTTCTCCTCTGAAACTACAGAGCAAAATTTAATGAAACTTGGCCACAATCATCATTGGGGTATCTTGTTTAAAAATTGTTTCCTTGGACCCTGTCTGCCGACCAAGATGGCTGACATGGCTAAAAATAGAACATTGGGGTAAAATTTAAGTTTTGTATATTATTTTGCAAACCGCTATGAATAGAGAAAATCTGACATGGGCAAAAATGTCAGAATGTTAAGCTCTACCTATTGTTCATTTAAGTCAAAACTGTCTGACAACTTCTTGTAGGAGTTATTGCCGTTAGATAATGAATTTCACCATTGATTTTAGATAGCCTATTATCTCAAAAATTATTAAAACAAGGAATTAATTGAATCTGGAATAATTATATATTATGGAATATGAAATGATTTTGTGTATGTTGTTCTAAGCCTTAGTTATAAAATAAAATTCACAAACAGTGATGACTATTATGAAGTTATTACCAAAAATTATTATCTTCAAATTGTCATGCAAATATATGATTAAGTCTGTAATTGATGATGATCTAACCCCAAGCATGGCCAACCCTTAGTTGGAATTAATGAAATATATTATTACAGTTCAACTAACCCTTAGCCATGCGTGCATGGCTAACCCCCTTAGTTGGACTAAATGAAATATATAATTATTATTGAACTAACTCTTAGCCATGCGTGCATGGCTAACCCCCTTAGTTGGACTATATAAAATATGACATTATTGTTGAACTAACCCTTAGCCATGCATGCATGGCTAACCCCCTTAGTTGGACTAAATGAAATATATCATTATTATTGAACTAACCCTTAGCCATGCGTGCATGGCTAACCCCCTTAGTTGGACTATATAAAATATGACATTATTGTTGAACTAACCCTTAGCCATGCGTGCATGGCTAACCCCCTTAGTTGGACTTCAAAATTTTTTTGGGGTAAAAATTCAAAAAAAAAAAAAAAATTGAATTTAAATGCAAAATTACCCAAAAAATAAAATTTTGATAAAATTCAAAAAAAAAAAAAAAAAAAAAAAATTTCAAAAATTTGAAGAAAAAAATAATTTTTGGCAAAAGTCACCCATTTTTTTTTTTTTTTTGGCAAAAGAAAAATAAAAACAAATTTTGGCAAAATCCCCCCTAATTTTTTTTTATCAAAAATTTCCCCCAAAAAAGTCACCTTAGACATGCATGGTTGCCTGCTAACCTATATTTTCACATGAGTGACTTACCTTTATCCAACCAGTAGATTAATTTCTAGATGACTCCAATCTATGCATACCTTACTTGTTCTGTATTTTTTACAAATGATGAACTTTGTTGGATGCACAATTTTAAATACATCATTGCTGTAGTTATAATGTGTTTGTAAATTGAATACTAATTTTAACCTTTATCTCTGCTACTAAATACTTTGTAGTGCTAATTTTTCAACTAAATGCATGTTTTCTATGTTTCTATATCTGCCTTATTTTGCTTTGCATGCCTTGCTCACATATACTGTATAATGCATCACACTTGTAAGCCTCTATGCACCTTTTGACTATTAATCATCCTCTGTAGCATGCTTATCTGCTTGTAACATAGCTTCAAGGTGAGTGGTGTTGTATGATCTGACATATTAGTCATTAACCAGGCAACCTCAGTACAGGGGACCTGGAGGTCCAGATAAGGGGGCATATTTACAATGTGTGAATGAAAGACAATTGTCCTTTAATTTATGTACACTGTAATACTGTTTTTGAAAATTGGACCCCATTTGAAGCATGAAGTAAGTATGTTACCATATTATGTTCTACAAAAGATTTAATCAAATGTGTATACTTTTTTGATTTGACACGTAAATCTTCCGAAATAATGAGCTTCATACAAACATAAGATGTTGTATGGTGCCAATGAGACAACTCTCCACCAGAGACCAAATGACATAGAAGTAAATTGTGGCTAGGTTATCAACATGTTTTCTGGCGCTATCCCTCTTCTTAACCTGGGACATTGGTGTAAAAAATAAGAACCAAACAGTCAAAATAAGTTGAAAAGGGCTTCACTCATCCGATTGATACAAAGCACATAAAAACCTAACAAAAACTCAAAAGTCACAAAGTACAGTTTTGAGAGTACTCAGTTACTGAAAGCTATGTCAAAGCCAATAACAACTTATAACAAATCCATCTTTTTCAAAATCAGAATATCAACTCTGCTAAAATTTATAAACTTTATAAGATATCTTTTTAAGTAAATAAGATATCTTATATAGTTTATGAGATATCTTTTAAAAAATACTTAATGAGATATCTTGTAACGTATATGAGATATCTTTTTAACTTTATAATATATCTTGAAAATTGAATAAATATAAAAACAGCTTGCCATAGATATATCTTTATTGTTTTTTGGAGGAGCTAATGGCATCAAATTGCAAATTAACGATCTGACCTAAATAAGTTTAAAATGAATGGTAACACTTTTCATCAATTAGATGCTAAGAAACAACAATATGAAAATTGATAATGAAATAAATGTAGTTTATTATGACATACATGTCATAAAAGTATAATCATTTAAAGATTGATAGTACTGTCAAAATAACTTGTAGTTTGAAATTATTCAAACAAAGGTTACCAAAATCAATTTTTAACACTAGCATATTACAATATTTGTATACTCAGTAACAATTAGAACAAGCAAATTTCCCTTTCAAGTATCTTTTTCCATAATTAAAAAAAATATATGAAACACAAGACTCACAGATTTCAATATAAAGACATTATTGACATTAAGCTAGTTAAAAATAACATTTGTTTCAATTTTTTAATGTGTTCTAGGGCATAACAAAACACCCAAACAACACTTCATCAAACACCAATAACTTTAATTGTTAATTAACTGTGGTCAAGGAAACAATACACTGGAGTTGTATTCTTACATTTTAAAAAAGCTTTTGATATTTTAAATCGCTGAATTTTATTATGAAAATAAGAGAAATACAAGTTTGATACTATTTCTTTTAAATGATTCAAATCATATTTATCAACAAGTTCTCAAAAATGAAAATAAACAATAATTTATTGTATGTAACAAATACAACATGACAGGCCAATAAAATAATTATCACAGAAATTTATCTATAGTCTAAATTAAGGTGGTACCTAACACCTTGACTAATATTAATTTGGCTCGTTTAATTTTCATAAAATTTTGACAAAATGTTTACTTTGACCCTTTGACAAAAATATAAAAATTTCAAAAAATTTGAACCAACCACTTTATCAGAAAAATTTCATTGGTTATATAGCAGTTTAACAAACACTAATTTTGATCATTGAGAAGCTTAATATTTCCTTAACAATACAACGTAATTAAAACGTTTAGCTGGTTTTTACAGAGTTATCTCCCTGTAGTGTTAGGTACCACCTTAAGGGTCCGGAAACGGTCA